TATTTCCCTTTCCTGAATCATTCTCAATCTCCAGTAACCGGTATTCTATACTCAGGTTAAGTTTTTTGAGCTTCCACATTATGAAAGTGAACACAAGGGACCAGTCTTTCTGTGTCTGCCATATTTCACTTAATATAATATCTTCTACTTCCATGTATTTGCTGCAAATGATAGACCTCATTCTTCCTTATGGTAGAACAATAGAAGTACGTTCTGCCATTCAGCAGGGAGGCAATATAGCACAGTCAATAGCAGCACAGAGTCAGGAGTTGCAAGACCTGAGTTCAAATGCCAGTTCACCATTTGTTGGATATATAATGACAGTCAAATCACTAACCTCAGTGAGCTTCAGTTATCTCTCCATTTCAAAAGGAAAGGAGCACTTCAGAGAGCTCTTGTGAGAGCTCTATGTGACAAGTTGTATCTTGTGAATTTTAGTGTTTTGTCTGTTCTCATGCTCTTTGACATTTCATCTCTCCCCCAGTGTGGTATGCAGAAAGGTAGATGTCTCTTCCTTGTTACAGTTGGGAAAAAAAATTTTAAAGTTAATGGTAAATTCATAAATTTTGAGCATATTATCCTCTACTCTGAATTTCCAGGTCATTGCTTTTCATTCTGCATCATTCCACCCTTAATACAGCTTAGCTCACATCAATTTTTGGCCTTGTAAAATGTTCTTTTTGCCTCTTATGAAATATATCTTTCAAACAAAAGCAAACAGACTTCAAGAATATTTGAGTAGCAGGGTAAAGATGGGGCAGTATGAGATCATAACAAGTCTCAGTGAGATGTTGGTGGCTGTAACCTATGGTTCATACATGTTCAGAGTTCCTTGGATCCATTTAGCTATGCCATGTCTCTCCCACCAATTCACACAATTCCATACCAATACTCTTTACACAGAGCAGTTAGAACTACTGATCAACCTAGACTCAGCTCATTTCTTCTACTACCCATTCCAACCTCTTTCCCACCCGCCACAGAAGAAATAATTTACTCCATTCTACCTTAAGCACTCTGCTAAACAACATGTTCTTCTAAGCATAACGTTACTTGTAAGTCTGTCTCTGTTTAATATGGCATTTCTAGGGCAAGAGTTCACAACCACAAACAATGACTCATTCTCCTGGGAACAATCTCCTATGGAAGTTTCTAAGAAATTGAGTTTTACTGATGTCTAGGGTCAGAATCTCTTGCCCTAACCCTGACCTAATGACATAATTCTAGTGAGCTGCTTACCATTGGACATGCAAGTGTGAATGGAGTATGTCTGTGTGTGATGTGTGTGTATTGTATGAGATGGTTTATCAGAGTGGCTTGGCATACAATTTTCTGGCCATGAAGAGCATGAAGGCATGTATTGCCAAGGCAGAGAGTTTGATACACACCAGTTTCCATGGCAGCATGTAACAATAACCAATGCCAGAATTCACAATAAATAAATAAATAAATAAATAAATAAATAAAAACTTGGATAGTCTGCTAACTCTAGCAACTTCTTGTTCGTTTATGCTTTTAAGTTGATTACTTACTGCTAAAGTTTAAATGGGAAATCCATTTGATTAGAACAAAGCCTGGAATGTAAGAAGGAATTAATGAATGTTAGGTATCATTATTACATTTAACAGTGAGAACCCAAATAATAGAAAACTCAGTCAATATATCTGATTTATCAGTTTCAAGCACCTTAAGAAAGGATGCCCTGAGAGGGTGTTTTATTCATATGCAGACAGGGTAATGTGGAGGCTCATAATAGCTAAATTTTTTTGAGGGCTGGCTGTGAAAGGTTTTCTCCTATATAAATTCTGAAATTTACCTCATAAACAAGCAGAAAATATTCATCTCCTGGGAAGGAAAAGTACATGTATAGTTTTCTGCTTATCTTTTGTATAACATAAATGATTTTCTTTAGGATGTAACTTTGTAGGACCAATTTGCACAGTTCTGTCATAGTCCTATGATTCCCTAAATTAACACTAGCTTTTTAAATATTTTATTTATTTTTACTTTATGTGTATAAGTGTTTTGCCTACACATGTCTGTGTTTTGCCTACATATATGTAAGTGAACCACATATGTACAATGTATACAGAGGAGTTGTAGATGCTTGTCAGCTACCATATGGATGCTGGAAACTGAACCTGGGTCCTCTGCAAGAGCAGCCAATGATCTTAACCATGGAACCATCTCTCCAGCCCTTCAGCTAGATTTTTAAAATGCTTATGTAGTGTTTTCCTAGAGATCTACAACATTGGAAATTAATTCTTTTAGAAAGGAAAAAAAAACTCAGGAAAACACATCCTTTATAAGTAGACTGAAATTCCTCCCAACTCTCATCCCTGCTAATTGTTCAGGTCATTTAGTGTTAATTTACTTCCCACCTATCCAATCAGCTCATTGGAAGTATAATATTATAATTAGATCAACTCATCCAGTAATATAAATTTTTTGTTTTATTAAAAATATTTTTATGTATGTATGTATGTATGTATGTATGTATGTATGTTTATGCCTAATGGTGTGTGCAGGTGGCTGTGGAGGCCAGAAGAGGGTATCAGATACCCTAGAGCTGGAGTTTCTGACTATTGTGAACTGCTAGATGTGGGTGTTGGGAACTGAACTCAGGTCCTCTGGAAGAGCAGCAAGTGCTCTTAATTGCTGAGCCATCTCTCCAGCCCAAAGTTTTCACTTTTTCTGAGTAAATTAATAATGAATATCCAGGCACCAAAATAGCAGCTCATTCAAGGTTATTTTTTTTACCATGCTGAACTATTCTAGTAATATATCTAGTCAAACTGGAAAATTTTCCTGTTAAAGAGATTTTCATGCAGTTTAATAATTCAGCTACCTGTAGCCTTAGGCAAAGTACATGGTTAGCAGGCTGCTTATTGGCAAAGTCATAACAAATTATGTTAACTGAAATTTTAAATTGTCCTAAAATAAATTTTGGAATTATCTATGAGAAAGCAAAAGGTTCTGGGCCTCGTCTCAGCATTATTTCATTACTGTAGCAGTACTTTCTTCTTGGAGACCTATGCAAGTTTGGAAATTATTTCAGAGAGGAAGAAAATCAAGGAGACACGCCTTTTATAGGTGAACTGACATTATTTTCCAGCAACACCCTCCCTGCTACAGTTCTGACACTGGGAGTCTTAGATAAAGATGTTATTCCTCTTGGCTCTAAGCATAGCTAAATAGCTTATGTTGGAGATCTAGTTGAGAAGAACTCCAAATGGCCAGGTTAACTGCCAATTTTGAAGCTTAGCATTCAGATGCTTTTCATCTATTTACTTTCAAGCCTATGTGAGGCTTTGGTCCAGAGAGCTGAGAGATATCAAGTGAGCAAAGCTGTCAAAATTCTCTGTTATTGTAGAGGTTAGAGTCTACTGCCAAAGAAGGTGTGAGGACAAGAGCATGTAAGTGTAGAAGTGTAGACATGTATGTACTTCTTTTCATATACTAGAAAGCGATGTGGAAATGGAAACTAGAAAAGGTGACTCTGGAGTCATGGAAAACATTGTAGCTTAAGGTAGTTTGAGATGAAATTGTAGTCCACAGAGATGGATCCAGCCCACTCCACCCTTGGAAGGAAGTGAAGAGGTTACAGGAGTGATGCTGCATATATCTCTACTTTCAGGAGAGAAAGCATGTCAGTGTATCAAAAATGCATTCTTTTCCCACCTGTTTGAGTGTAATTCTTGTCTTTCAGAGCTGAGGATGAAATAAATTATAAAAGAAACAGATGGTACAACCTGAGCACTCAGACCCTTTGTGATTCTGCCTCATTTAAGCTCTGGTGGTTATCTTATTTTCCATTAGCCATTTCAATCCTCAGAGGATGGAGGAAGAGATACACAGCTCAATTCAATGAGCACCTATTACTACCTCTTATTTGGCTAGAACAACTTCATTCAATTAAGTTAATGCAAAAACCAAGAATTTCTTAAAGAGCTTGTAGTTGGTGCAAAATGTGCCATGATAAATGAGCTATCTGAAAGAAAAAAATATATGGTTATGCTCAATAAATATGGAAGAGAAAGACCGTTATAATCTGGAGTTACTCCAGAACTTTCTGGAAAAGTGAGAGCAAGTTTTGACCTTTATTAAGTGTTGGCAAGGTAGTGATGCAAGTGAGATCAATTAGGTAAGAGGTGGCAGAAGTCAGACAGAAAGGAATGTCAGGGTCAGTCCTGGAGTAAGTTAAGGGGAGGAAGCCTGACTGAGAGACTTTTTGGCTAAGGGTAATTAGTTATAAGATTGACAGTGCTCTCCACTCCACTGACTAAATGGGGTGATAAAAGCCATCTATATTCCGTGGCCTCCCTATGACACAGAGTAGGACCGAGAAGTCCATGTACAGGACGTGATTTCGTTGCCATTCTTTGACCTTAAAAAACTAAGCTGAAAACTAGAATAATTATTTCCATGAAACAACGATATCAACCCTTACCTTCAGTTTACATGGACATATTTCTCTACCCTGTAATTATGGGCTCACTTCTTTCTGCCATAGACTTTGGGCTTGAATCTAGCAGAAGTACAGGATTGGGGGCGATAGAAGGGAAAGAAATAGTGGGTGAAGCTATTAGGCAGGAAGATGGCCCACCTACGCCTAGGAAAAGCAAGCTGCAGGTGCGAAGGCTTTCCCAAGCAGGCCAAAACACTCAGCTGGCGGGTGCTCCCATAGGGTAGGGGCATCCTGGGAAGCGGGTCAACCTGCAATCGCCTAGTCCCAGCAGTGAGCTATGTCCACGTGCAAATCAAGATTTGGAGAAGTCCTGTGGGTGGCGTGCTTGACACTCTCTTCAGCTCGGTCCTTAGGTTTCTCTAGTCATTGCTCCCTCCTCTTCCCACCCCACCCCACTTCACCCAGCGCCCGGATTTTGGACTGACTTGGGGTCTCTAATAATTACCCAAGTGGACCGCCGCGATGGAGTCTGTTCCCCTCGAAGCCGCAGCTAAGACCTGGAGAAGTGGAATTACCATTTGAAACTCCGGAGCCAAGCAGCGTGAGAGACGGCGCTGGGCATGCTCAGTGTTGTGGCGTGTTGGGGCTCCTGCTCGCGCTGCACTGGTGGGGCTGCCAGGCTGCCGGGTTGGTGCGGGAGTCCATCCCACCGTCACCGCCAGCTGCCGGCTTCCAGAAGGCCAAGCCCTCGCCACCTCTGAGAGTCTCGCTCCCGCCTGCTTCGAGTCCAGATCACCTACCGCATCCCACTCTTCCTCCATCTCCCCTGTCCTAGGGAGGTGAAGCCAGGGCTCGGTTCTGGCGGCGACACAGACTGCTCCGCAAACCCCAGGCGAGGATCCAGTGATCGGATCCCCGGGATCAGAGGACTCTTTCTAATAACACTTTGCTTGAAGTGGGGTCGCAGCGGAGTTTCTCCTCCGCCCCTCAATGCATACACTATGCGGAGAGCAGTCGGCTTCCCTGTGCTGTGCCTGCTTCTTAATCTTCATGCTGCAGGTAAGGGCTTGCCAGGCGCAGAGCTGGAGCTGAGAATGAGATGGGAAACGGCACATGCTTTAAGGACTCCGGAAAAGCTTGCCTCACGGAGAAAGCTTTAGGACAGTATCTGAGGGGTGAGGGAATGCACCTGTTGGAAGGCTGGGACTGAAAACTTAAGCTAAAATCAGCTCTTAGGTTTTCTTTACCTTGCACGAATAAGAGCAAACATTTTCAATGTGAGTGCAGATTTGCTTTCTCTGTCTTCCCCTCCATCTAGTCTCCCTGCTTGAGCTTCTAGGCTCTGCCTTGGCTACACATTTTGCAGGAGAGACAAGACATTCTGCTGGATGGAGCCTTTTCTACTGCAGCGGTTACATTCATAAGGTCTCTGGGTTTAGCGAGTGAGCTTTCACAGGAATGCCCTGGCTCTAATCTGATGGACCACCTTTCTGCCCCAAGATCGAAATGCATGGTTCACATCTAACGATGCTGCTCCAGGCTCCTTTGGCCCCTGCTCTTGTCACTCGAATTTTTTAAGCCAGTAAGAGTAGGGAAAGGTTTCAGACAGGAACCTCTTTTCTTTCAGCACCACGGCCAGCGTCTGTGGGCAGTTGGAAAAAAAAAAAAAACCCAACCACAGTTACAAATCTGGCAACCTGGGGGCATCGCTGTCCCCAAGATAGATGTGATTAGTGACAGCGAGACTGCTCCCAAATAAAAACACATTTGATACAAGAACCAGTATCTAGTCTGGAGACACAAACCTTAGGAACTGTCCAGGAATTTTATATTCGATGCTGCTACAGACCCTGGCACCTCAATGTAGTGGACAGACTTGCTGGACTGTGCTCTTTATCATTTTCACACAAGGTGAACCAAAATAAAACATGGCAGAGATGTTTTAGGAGCCCCACTGAGACAGCAGTTGTCCTGTGGCAAGCAAAGACTAGAAATTTTCCTTGAGTTTGTTTTTCATCTATTCACACATATTCATTTTGCCAAGTAACATTGACTAGGGTATATTATGTTATCGTGATCATATGTAAAAATAATGGCTGTGAAACCATAATCCTTCTGACAGTTCTTTAAAAGAGTAGGTGATTTTTTTTTTCCCCATGTGTGAAGTACAGTATTTTCTTCTCCGGGCTATTGCAATCCCAATGCATTGTGACTCTTTTGAGCATTCAATGTAAAGGAATAATAAAACTATAATTAAATACACGTGTTAATTATCATAATTACAGTGCTACTTCGTGGACTTTTCGGTAGTTCTTTGGTGTCTTTTGAAAAAGCATAGGAAAAAAGCTATGACTTGGTTATTAAATTATTTGCAAACAATTGTAATGAATCCTTTCATTGCCACGTGTAATTCTTTAATATTAAATATGTGATAGGACATAGAATACATATGTACTGTTGATTTTATTCACATTATTATTTAATGGTAACACTGACAGAAATATTCTTTACCAAAAGAAGTTCTAATTCCTACCACGTTTAGTAATGAACTGATAAAAAAATCAGTGTAATTCTTTCTGAAATCAATATATAAACAAAATTTAAATAGCATGTTTAATGTTTCTTGAGTAGTTACAAGCCTAAAATTTGTGTAGACTTGAAATTAAGCATGTGGAAAATGCCTCTAATTTATTATACATGAACCCTGGGAATGAGGAAAATAGAGGACTTTTGTTCATCAAAGGAGAAACCTAGAAGTCTATAACTCTAAATAATTCCTGAAACTTTGCCAAAGGATGTAAAGCAAATCCATCTGTATTTTAACTTTTTAGTTTGTAAAAGGAAATAGTTAAATATAAGATTATTCTACCAATCTTAATTTCATAAGGCAATGCATGAAGAGCTATATATTTCAGATTCCAATTGCAATATGCTACATACAAATTAATTGTATTTATACCCAATAAAGTGCTTTAGAAAGGTGTTTTATCATAGCAGATTGCAAGTTTAATATTGTAGTTGTCTTGCCAGCTTCGTTTTGGATGCATTTTAATTTTAACAGTAATTTGTGGGTCACAAGCTGTCATCAGATTAAAATTCATAACAGTTATCTAATAGTATTGTTTGGGCTTTTCATCAGAACTCAGATAAACACAGATTTTCTAATCTATACTCCCAGAGATTTAGGTAATAAGAAAATAAGTGGGTCAAAGGACAAAGATCAAGGAGTCTCTTAGTTCTTTACTTGTTGAATGTCTGCGTTTGTCTCTTTTAGAGAAAGCTGTCCTCTCAGGACAGAGGCTGACTTTATAAAGAAGGATAGTGAAGTCTGTATATTTGGCCTCTTGGCTTGAAAGCTAACTGATTCATTTCAGTTATGCCCAGGCTACCAGCACCTACGTTATGGTGGCAGAAATTATGGCATCTTCGAATGGTCCAGGAATGGAAGATTTTGCCTGATGAAATATAAGCGTGTTGTCAGTTGTATTTGGATCTGTTGCCTTAGGCATAGCCACATCTCTAATGATAAGGCAGAAAATTGCCTTCAACTTGAGTGTCATCTCCAATTACTTGGTATGGTTGCCTATGATGTGGTGACCCAGAGTCTCGACAGACTAAATAGGGGAAAGAAATATAGTCTGTTTGTAATATCTGTGGACACAAAAAGGAATGGGGTATAATGCAATGTAGGTGGCATTGCTAGGTAAGATAAGCCAAAGGAACTGCTGAGTATATAGCTTAATATAGAAGTTAGACTCAATATAACAGTCATTTTTCATAGATCTTTTTTGAGGAGCAAGTTAGAGTTACTATTGACCCAGTTGCCCATTTAACAGGTGAGAAGGTCAAGACAGAAGCATTAACTGACAGCATAGTCAGGAATTCAACAAGACTCCCAGACTCTAGACTCCCAGGTTCTAGTGGGACCTAGTGGGTTCTTGTAGATGAGGATGTCATTGAGTCGGTAGTAACAAATCGTTTGGGCCTAACTCTCCTTAGTCTTTGCTCCTTCCATGATCCAATGTAATACATAAATTCTGGTTTAGAAGCCCACAATTGCCAGTTATGTCACTAATAAAGATGGTTAAAAGGATAACGGTGTGGAAGATCCACAGGTAGCTTATTTACTTCAGTCTTCCTACTCTTTTTTTGCCCAGTGAATCATATTCCACTTGGGGAAATTATGTTAATGTGGTAGTATTCTCTTTGCCAAGAAGTAAATTTCTTGTGATATATTTAAAATTCTCTGAAAGTTTTCATTTTCCTACTGAATGTTTCGATAAGACTGGTTTCAACCCATGGCACTCTTGTCATGCATTAGAAAAGGTGATTTTAGATTTCCACATTGTGCTTTCTGAATGATACACTCCTTTTGGGGATGCCTTAAAAATGTCTCTTTACCCTCAGAGATATACTTTGCAAAGTTTTCTAGGATTTCAGGAGGAGGGTGCTCCTGTCATGGAGCCAGAGGGTTCTAAGAAGACATTTTCAGAAGTTCCATGCTCAAGAGAAAGGACAAACTAACAGGAAACTAACATGCAATAGCTTCCGATTTTATGGTGTACCTTGGAGCTCCAAATCAGTCTTTTCCATTTAAGTATTACTCATTCTCAACATAATCTTTAAAATGGCCCAAGACCTGCTGGATTCTCTGGATTCTCTTCTCCATGGCCTCTTTCATATCCAGCTCTCATTACTTTCCTCTTTTTTTTTTTTTTTTTTTTCGGCCTTCTTTGAGACAGGGTCTCCCTGTAGCTCCAGCTGACCTGGAACTCACTATGTAGACCAGGCTGGCCTGGAACTCACAGAGATCTGCCTGCCCCTGCCTCCCAAGTGCTGGGATTAAAGGCATGCACCACCATGCCCGGCTTACTTTCCTCTTTTTAACTCTCCAGTTAGATTGTTCTTTCTGTTCCTAGAAAATGCCAGGCTTGTATGTGTCTTACACAGTTTGCTTTTTTCTTTGCCAAAGAAAATCATTTTGTGGTGTAATTCATCAGCAATTTTAGATTTGGGTCTTTACTCAAATGTTACCTCCTTAATGAAACTTTTGCTTGCTATTTTTATTTCATCTTCCCCTCCCCTCTGCAGAACTGCTGCCTTTCCCTCCTTCCCTTTCTTCCTAGAACTCATACAACTTAACATTTAATATACTTTTCTTGTTTGTTCTGCTTATTGTGCTTCCTCCTCTCTGTACTGAAATATGAGCCTTTTTGAGGGCACAGACTTTATTTATTTTGTTTTTGCTTTATCTATTGGAGATTATGTTCTATCTAACACCTACAGCCTATGCTTGGCATAAATGCTTCTAAGTAGGAAAGAAATGTGCTGAAAAAAAATTAAGACAACAAACTTTTATTTATGGTCTCTACCTTTTGGACTTAACTTCTTGCTATACATGCAAAATATACCTAATAAACTTAGTCACTTCCATCATAGATTTAAAAAAATATTTTATTTATCATTTTTATTTTATGCGTATGCATGTATTGCCTGCATGTAGGTCAGTGCACCTGTGTCGTGCAATGCCTGCGGAGGACAGATTTAAGTGAAGTTCCTTTGTTCAAAATTTATGTGGCTCCTAAAGTACCTCACATACCCAGAAGATATATTATTCCAGATTTTGCTACCATTGTGGATCAGAGGCTAACAAGGATGGAGTTACATGAGACCACAGCTGCTTAACAGCTCAGTAACAAAGTCTTTCAAACTAATGGCCAGATGTTGTACAACTTAAATGCTTTTCTGGTTAGTTACATTGCCATGTCTTAATTAGATACCTTGCACATGTAGCAGGTAGGAACGGTCATGATGATATGGAAGGAAATATGCCTCTGACAGAGGGTTTAAGTCCCTAGGACAAAACCGCCTGCTTCTTTGGTACTTGGGGGTCATGGGGATGTGCTCATTGGAGAGCCCATATTTCTAGCACTATGGAGACTACATCTCCTAGTAGTGATCATTTCTAAAATTCAGGGGTGAATTATACACATTCTTTTTTATTTTCTTTGCTGCTTCTTCCACTCCAATCTTAATCTTGTCATCCTGTTGCTGAACTT